TACAAATGGCTTTTGTGCCGTTTTCAAATGTTAGCACTGAAAAGACCTCATTATTAAGTTTCTTTACACGCAAAATTTAAGTTCAATATTTATACTAGTAGTTGATTTTCTACGATTTTGGTAAGTTTTGATGTGCTCATTGTGTCCGCTTCAGAAAAGCATTAGTTTAAAAATCTTAAAAACGCATCTTTTTTGTGATTGACGGTTTTATCAGTTTTATTTTATTTTATTTTTTGACAAGAACATGTACTTTGACTATATGTTTTTAGTATTACTTCTACGTGAAGTCAACGATTTACATAGTTGAAGATGCTAATTTCAAATAACAGACTGTAGTGGTAATTTTTATACGATAGATGGAGTAGATGAAAGCATAGAGTTGATAGTTCCGTTAGAGTACGGCAGTGTGAAGATTGTATATAGATATTAGAATAGCGAATTAGGACAACTTTCAAAGAAGAGAAAAAAAAAACCGATTTGTACCTTCCTGTATAGTATATATTAAATTGATTTCTTAACTCGTTATCAGTGATAAAGTTCGACAGGTTGAAATTTGGAAGTAATTTGAGAGTTCTGTAGTCAATCCTGGACGATATGTCTTGGATACAAGCTCTTACTTGAACTCTTCAGTTAACTATTTTATCAGTCATTTGTGGTCCTGAAAAGGACCGATGGGTTGAAAGCTTGGAAACCAGCTTAGAACAATGCTGTGAAAATTTGTCCTCGATGTTCTTGGAGATGATAGCGGTGCGGAAATGAAATATGTAATAGGGAAAACACATCAATTACAGAATCTGGGCCTACCGGACGGTACCTACGTTTATGCTTTTTGATGCAAATTTTAAGCCTCTTCTATTAAGAGAATACGGCAAGATTTTTTTTGGCATAATTCTCTTAATAGGAAGGGCTTAACATTTCCATCAAAAGGCATAAACATAGGTACGGTCTGGAATGCTAAGTGCTTGGTATCAATATTCGGCGACTGTGTTAGGGAAACAACTTTTCCCATAACCCTCGTCTTGTGATGTCCAAATTACGCATTTTCATGCACAAAACGCACAGAACTTTTGGTTTATTCAATAGATCGTAAAGAAAGCGAAAACTGATTGGAGGAATTTCATGTTAAAATTGTTCCATTCGCGAGATATTCGCGATAAATCATATAAATTCGAGATTTTTTGTTTTTTTCTTTTTCTAGCGTCCTGAAGAAAAGTGGTTCTGGTTATTTGACATGGTCATGTGGTATTCGGTCATTGCGAGAATTTGTATGTACCACTTCAATACTTGACGCATTTGACCATAAACGTTTGGTTGCTGGGTACATTATCAAAGAGCTTTGGGGGTGATGTGGCTGGCACCAAGGCGAGCGAACGTTCAATGAAAATTAACTCTTAAACAACAAAATTTATGGTGGTCCTGAAAAGAACCGTTTTGCCGTGATGGTTGGAGTAATGCTGAGCTATTAGGGTGCTCAACACGGATGAGGCTGGCGAGCTGTATGTTGGTTGGAACGAGGGTGACGCGCTTGGCATAGATGGCCCACAGCGACTCACGAAGATGGATCCTGATCAGTAGTGGTGAAGCTTCTTCCTCCTTCTTCTGTGAATTGGACGCTCATGTGGGCTGTAGCTCGCTGCTTGCGGGCAGCTTCTCGTTGTGCACAATGTTCAACGCCGCGCGTCGAAAGCACTGCTGCTGCTGCTGCTGACGACCAACCGGACATCACCACACACGGTGATTGAATAAGCACCGTTCAGGAAGACAGGACCGAATTCGATTTTGAAATCTGTGTTAGGGAATGCGCTTTTTGCTGGCAATCGGTGATAATTTTGCTTGTTTACAATTCAAATCCATCCGCTGTTGATAGAATTATATGTGGTCAAAACCTGACCACTTTTCGTAATGCGGTCAATTATGGTTTTTTGAAATTGCACCCCCAATATGTTGCCGAAAGACGTAATCCAACATAAAAAAAAAAAAAAAATGACACAACAGCGGGGTTCTGTCAATTAAGTTGTTTGGCATTGTGGACCTACTTTTGAGACCCACTGGTTCAACTCTCGGATTCGGATTTGCATATTGGATCGTTGGGACTTCTGCGGTCCTTTGTACATGTTTCGAAGTCTTGTGTACTCGACCTAGAGGGTAACAGGACTAGTCCTTGAAGCCTTCCAAGGGAACTTGATAGGTACCTTAAAGATGTGGTATCTTGAAGATCTTTCTGGCGATGCTAAGAGAAAAAGTTTGTAAATTTTCTCCTAAGAGGAACTTTTTTAACGACCATAAGACTAAAAAGTGTTAAGCTGCCAAGTCAAGTACAAAACACTTGGGGTTTTTAACGCATTAATTGTGGACAGGTTGAGAGATTTTTTTATGATGTCAGGAGGTCTTCCAGAAATTGCAAAAACTTTTAGAGGTAGTGAGAATCATGAGAATATTTTGAAGTGGTTGGGGTCTCCCAAGGGCAGACCTTTCCGGCCATGCTAAGAGAAGAGTTTGGAAATGTCCCCCTAAGAAGAACCTTTATAAGGAACTGAAGAGCGAAAAGAATGAAGATTCCAAGTTGAAGTTTAACGAACTTCAAAAAGAACTTCAATAGACTCCTTCAACAAATGTTTAGAGTGTAGAACGGAACTTAAGAGTAAACCTTCAAAACCAACAGGATAAGTACGAAATACTTGTAAGGAGTTTCAATGCATTGCTTTGAAGAGTTTGGATTTGTTTTCAGATAAAATTCGCGAGAGTTTTTATGTGGAAGGGTCATTTAGACAAAGTCCTGAGGACTTTTGTGGAAGTTGAGATCTTCCACTAATTGAAATTTGACGATCTGCCAAAAGAAGAACTTCAGAGGACCTCCATCGAAAGTGTGAAAGCTGTGACCAACAATTGAAATAGGCCGAACAACCTCTGTCCTGTAATCTGTCCTTATCGTCATTTCCAGTCACAGGACAGGTGTTGTGGGTTTAATAATTTGTTGTTTGTGACGACTTAGATTTTAATATAACTAGGGCTCTGCTTTAAAAATAGAGTAAGAGTTAATAAGATAGGTTAAGATTAGTCTGTGCGAAACCGTCTGAAACTGAATAAATAAATAAAAACCATTATTTACGTTTGTTTGTTCCGTCTATTTCAATTGTTGGTCTAGAAAGGAAGAGTAAACTTTGGAGGCCTTCTAGGATATATACGAGGGTTTTATTCAGAGAAATTCAAAGATAAGCTCCGAAGGATGTTCGGAGGACTTCCACTGGAATTCCAGGTATTACTTGCAGATGTAAGCTTTCAGAAACCCCATGCCAGGAGACCTTCCTGGAGTATTTGAGAGAACTTAGGTACTTCAAATATGGAAGCCATCCAGGTGATGTCTAAAGGACTTCCAGAGTAGGTTTGGAGGTTTTCAGGTTAATGATTGCGATAGTCTGTCGGAAGAAATTTAAACGACTTCCTTGGGAATATTAGAGTAAATTTTGGAGGACCTCCAGAACTAGTACGAAGGGACTAAGTCTAGAGATATTCGGAGAGAAAATCGGAAAAAGTTTTACCGATGGTGTTAAGTGCTTTCAGCAAATAAATGGGAACTTTAAGAAACTTCTTAAATATATCGGGATGCCTTTCTGGAATATTCTGAAGAAAGAACTTATAGGGGCAGTCCGACCCACTAGGGTGTCAATGAAATGTATGTAAACCGATCATATAAAAAATGTCTATTGCTTCGAAAAAAGTAAGATTTGGGCTCAATCGGACATAATTTGGGTTGCTTTATTAAAAAATATGGAACACGCCATTTTGAAAAATTATGCGTGAGTTAAAATGGCCGAATTCCAGCACAAACAATTCATTGCTCCTAGTGAACAATTATGCGAAGTTTCATGGAATGTGAAGAGGGAAAAATAATATCGATTCGTCAGTTGGATTTTACAAATAAATTTCAGAGAACTTCTTAGGGGAATAAGGTTGTCATCGATGTAACTCTTGAAGAACTTCTTGAGAAAGTTTAACAGGCAGAGCATGAGAATATTTAGAGAACTTCCAAAGAAAGTGTTGAAGTGTGACGATTGTCCAGAATTCGTATGAACTTTTTGGAGGACTTCCAGTGAATAGTTTAGGGACGAAGCCTTTAACCGAAATGGCAGAACTTTCCTCAGGACTCGGAACATTTCGAATTCCCAAGTGTCCTATTTTTTGTAAAACTGGTGAAAGAATCTTGGCTAATATCCGGTTGCGGCTGAAATTAAGGCTTCCATATTTTGCTCCTGTTTAGTCCACCCGTCGCTTCTGTTAGAATTTGCCTCGTTCGTTCGAAAGGTGTTTAGTTTCCTTACTCTGTTTAGACTCCACAAATCCGTACGAGCCCCCTCCGTCCAAAAGGTAAGTTCACCTCGAATAGCAAGAGGTCGTGTTTAGGCTACCCATCCCCTCCTACTAGAGCTGCTGTCAGTTGTATTTAGCTGATTATTTCCCTCCTCCGTCGTCCTTCTAATTGGCCACATCTGCCGCTCCGTTTCAGCCCCTCAAGATCCTTGAATCCCCGAGTTCGTCCTTCTCCACGCTTACCACCGGCAACAGCTTCGACAGCTTGGATCTGGCCATCTACAATGGAGCCGCCCATCTGGGTGCGCTCGATCGGATCACCCGGCCGAGCCAGCATCATCTCAGGCTGCAGCTAATGGGCGGTGGTTCGAGCACGGCGGCCAGTCACCTACGGCCCAGCTACGACGACGATGATGAAGCCAGTTCCGACGATAGCTTTTTCGCCTACAAGAAGAAAGGCTCCGTCGTGTGATCCGAATGCTTGAGCTTTTCCATCAATTTTGTGCTTTGTATATGCGTATGTGCGTGTGTAAATGTTTGCGTGTGTGTATTTGCATATAACATAAGCTTGTGTGACGTGCTATCTTTTTGTTTGATATCTATGATGTACTATTTAAGGATTTGAAATAAACGTGAATATGCATTACATCGACGCTTTGAATGGAATTTTAACCGATCTCAACTATCCACAGCTATCACCGGGACGTGAGTGTTCCGACATTGACATGGAACCGCAGGCATCGCAGAGTCGGGACTGTGAACCGACACCCCCGCTGCAGCGGCATGGTTCCAAAAGCAACTTTTTCCTACCACCAATTGATGGTAACGGAGGATTGAACCTGAACGGAGGCGGCCAGATCGTTCAGGGAGGCAACGGTGGCGGCGATTCGCCACGGCACATACGCATGTACCACCCGCGGCACAGTCCCCACCCTCGTCAGCGTGGGTTGGATCCGTCCCGAAGTTTCACGCCGGAAGGCCTGTCGCCGGATCAACCGCCACCGATGATCACGATCCAGCAGCAGCAACAACAACTACAGCAGCAGCAGCAACAGCAGAACCAGCAAGGTTTGCCGCGTGGAGCCTCTGCGACACCCACAATGCAGCAAAGAATTAAAGCACTCGGTGTAGCGACACCATTAGCAATGTCTAGTCCCGTTAGAAGGTATGTGTCCATTTCTTTATCCGTTCTCCATTAACCTAGTTTCTAAGTTGTTAGGATCCATTTTTGAGCATTTTTTCTACGACAGAATTTCATTTTCGAGACCGCAAACAAGAGCTTCATACTCGTTGATTTGATATGTTCGATATGGAAACTTACCTATATACTTATCATATTCTCACTTATCTAATCGTTTTATTACAATTAATTACAACTGACCATCTTTCGTTGCTTACCTTTTCTCACTCGGAAACTGATTACACACTTAAAAAAAAAAAAAACAATTCAACACGCCTTCACTTTAACTTACATAACCTCAAAAAAAAAACCTAAACTAACCATATCGACGCACGGTGCAGATGGACCTAAAGCCGCCAACCGCAAAACCGAAAAGCAATTCGCGCACCTGTACCTGGCACACCATTCGGCCGCACCAATTTGACCATCGTCCCCCACAGAACCCACCCTCTGCTCCGCGAAATGCGCGCACACACCCACACACCTATATGTATTCAAGAAAAGAAAAAAATACCAAAAAATCCAGCAAATTTTAACACTAAGAAACGAAGACAGTCTCCCCTGCGGATGTTTTCGAACCCGAAACCAAACCGCCACGAGGAGACGGGATAACGACGGCGACGACAACCTCCGGATGTTCCAGTTGAGATACGGCAACTGTGGACGATGCCAGCGGAGAAAAAGGATCTTCCCAATTATCGTCTATATTTTGGCTTACTGATTTCCGACACCAACCACGCCCCGCGCGCCACACACATCTATTCAACTACCAATAGGCTGATATATAGGACTGAGTGAGCTCTATCTTCCGGAAGCCAGTTGCTCAAAAATCACAGAACCAAAACAAAAAATGCATTGTCGAGCTGCTGGTAATTGAATAGTGTTTCTTTGTTTTCTTTAGTTTAGAATAATTTGTTGGTTCTTATTTTTCTTTTTTCGATTCGTAGTTGGTTGAACATTTCGTTTCGTTGGCTTCGTAATTTTGATATTTGGTAATTTTACTACGCTCTCTAGATATGCGCTATAGAACTTTTGTGCTCCACTGTATGCGGTCCCGCTGTTTTTTTTTGTTTTTGCCAAGCCACGTAATTCGTTCTTATTCTTAGTTTTATTTGGAACTTGCCAAAAATTTGGCGGTTTTTCGAAGGCAACTCTTATTTTATCCAGTACAGTAAAGACCCGATTTTGCCAGCCCCTCCGCGCGTCAGACTTGTATCTTTCAATAATTTCACATAGCAGTAATCCCCAAGCATTCCCATTCATCTTCATGAGGATTGATTAAGGTATTCCTTGTTGCGATAACACGTGTGAAAAAGCGCATAGGTTTCGTAGAACATTAGAAACGATTTTCAAAAAAGAGGCTGACAAAATCGGGATTCTGTTTATCAATAGAGACAACACAGCTTTGATCGCTCATTCGAGCCAAGAGTCATCTTCAAGGGAAACCATGTCAATTGAGGGGGTTAGAAGGAAAGGGATGTAAGTGACTTTGATCGATTCTCTTCATCGACTTTCTCTTTCGTTAATAATTCAGCTGCAAACACATTCCTTGATTCGTGTGCCATAGCTGTTTATAAAGCTCTGGCTGTTTATAAAGCTGTGGCTACGATGAAGCGAATCGATCAAAGTCGCTTACTCCTCTTTCCTTCTAACTCCCTCAATTGTCAGTTACAATGCAACTTTAATAACCCAAAAGTCACTATTTCATAAAATTTACTTTTTTTTACGACTAATAATGTTGAACTTGAGAGTGAAAACGTTGCCTTTAAAAATTATATCAAATCAAAGCTTGATTTGGTAACAAATTTGTGTTAAAGATTCATTCGAACAGTATGTAGTATTTGTCTAAATATCGAGAAAAATCATGTCGCAGAATCTTGAATTCTTTTATTATAATCTCATTAAATTTTTCCGGACTTGTAATCTGGAATCATCGAGACACAAAAGTCTATGCCCAAGATCATATAATGTTATTTACGTTTCTGAAGCAATTTAAATGCTAGGACTGTGAAGTTACACTCTATCTAGATAGAGCTGGAATTAGGGCGTAACAGCTTTTATAAACAATGACTTCTCTCGATGATTTCTCGGAAGTTATGGTTCGCCCTGGCAAATCGACATCACCATCGCGTAGAGGAAGACTTCTCCTACCCGTTGGATATGTTGGTTTGTGTAGGCGTGCCTTGAATGACGAGAAATCAACAAGAGAAGTCATTGTTCACAAAGGCTGTTACGCCCTAATTCTAGCTCTATCCAGCTATGTTTTCCAAATATGAAAATTATTCCAGGTCGCACAATTTTCTTAATTTGTTTGTCTTAGAGAGTTCGAATTTTTAAGCTTTGAAAACTCTTATAAAAATAGTCTGATGCTCACAATACTTCTCATCAAATTCTTAATAGGATTTTCCTAAAAGTTTAAAGTTTCCTCAATTTTTCTAACAATCATGGATCTTCTCTATAGGTTTAACAATTCGCTGAAGTTCTCTAAACTTCTTTAAAATGTATGTGACTTCTCTGAGGTTCTCTGTTCTTTTCTGAAATTCTGAAAACTTCTCTATAGTTTTTGCAGTTCTCATGAAGCTTGTTGTGTTGCGCTTTAAGCTTCAGTGAACTTCTGAACTTATACGAAGATCTCAATTATCTTTTTTAGATCTCTGAAGTTATCTAAAAATCTAGGAACTGCTTTAAATTTCCAACAAATTTTCTGAAACTAATAGAACTGACCTCCCCCTGAAATTCCTCCAATTTTCGGAGCTTAAAGGGTGATACGGTCAAAATTTGGTCAACATCAACTTGACGTATTTCTTTCAATTTTGCATTTAAAAAACCTGAACACCCCTCATTTTGAAGGTGTGTGTGTGTAGAATGTTGCTCCTATTTTGATTTTGGAATTCACTCTTCAGTTGTCAAAATGCCGTCCAAGCAAGAAGAGCAGCGTATCAAAATTTAGCTCGCGCATCGCGAAAATCCGAGCTACTCGCACGCAAAGTTGACAAATTCGCTAAAAGTTGCCAAATCAACCGTTACAAATGTAATTAAAGTGTTTGGGGAACGTTTGTCGACAGCCAGGAAGTCTGGATCGGGGGGAAATCGAAAACCGGAAGCCGCTGAGACGACAAAGAGAGTTGCCGGTAGTTTCAAGCGAAACCCTAACCTCTCTCTCCGAGATGCCGCAAATAAGCTGGGTGTATCGTCTACAACCGTGCATCGAGCCAAAAAACGAGCCGGACTATCGACTTACAAGAAGGTAGTGACTCCAAATCGCGATGATAAACAAAATACGACGGCCAAAGCGCGATCCCGGAGGCTGTACACGACGATGCTGACGAAGTTTGACTGCGTGGTAATGGACGACGAAACCTACGTCAAAGTCGACTACAAGCAGCTTCCGGGACAGGAGTTTTATACGGCAAAAGGAAGGGGAAAGGTAGCAGATGTTTTCAAGCACATGAAACTGTCAAAGTTCGCAAAGAAATATCTGGTTTGGCAAGCCATCTATACCTGTGGCTTGAAAAGCAGCATTTTCATAGCTTCCGGGACTGTCAACCAAGAAATTTACGTGAAAGAGTGTTTGAATAAACGTCTGCTGCCTTTCCTGAAGAAACACGGTTGTTCCGTACTGTTTTGGCCGGATTTGGCATCTTGCCATTACGGTAAAAAGGCCATGGAGTGGTACGCCGCCAACAACGTGCAGGTGGTTTCCAAGGACAAGAACCCTCCCAACACGCCAGAGCTCCGCCCAATTGAGAAATACTGGGCTATTGTCAAGCGGAACCTAAAGAAGACCAAAAAAACTGCTAAGGGCGAGCAGCAGTTCAAGGCAAACTGGCTTTTTGCGGCAAAGAAGGTGGACATGGTGGCTGTACAAAATCTGATGGCAGGGGTCAAGCGTAAGGCCCGGCAATTCGGATTTGGAAAAGCGGAAGCCTAACTGAATATTTTTCCTGAATTTTATACTAATTGAACTTGAAAAAGAAATTTAATTTGATTTTTTAAATAAACGATTTCATCGATTTACACGCGTTTTCCCTTGACCAAATTTTGACCGTATCACCCTTTACTCAACTTCTTTCAAATGCTCCCGCATTTTGCTACTGTTTATAAAAATTCCTGACGCTAGACTTCTATGAAGTTCTCGAAATGTTTCTGAAGACCACTGTCCTTTTGTGAAGTTTTCGAAGTATTTCTAAATTTCTGGAACTTTTGTACCTCCGCAAATTTTATGGAATTAGAACGAAATAATTAATCTCAAGATGTTTCTGTTCATGAACCTACCCTTAAATTATCGACACTAATTTAAACTTCTTCAATAGTCTACACTTTCCTGGTGTTATTAAAACTGCCTAAACGATTACTGAATTTCTTTGAAGTACTCTAGATTGTCCTGAATTTATCAGTATTTGTTAAAAACCCGCAACTTTACTGAAATTAATTGATTTGCCTTGAAGTTTCGACAATTTTACTTAAGTATTATAACCATTATAAACACTCACTAATTTTCCCTGCACTTATCTATGCTTACCTGAAGTTCTCTAAATTTGTAAATCCGGAAAATTTACTGATATAAATTTATAATTTCCTGACGCTTCTGACGTTTTCGGATCAATCATAGAATTCTTGGAATACACCATAATTCCACGGAACGCATTGTAAGTCGCTGCAAATTTGCTTAAGTTGATGGGATTATTCTGAAGCTATCTGATCCTCCTCGAAGTACTCGGAACTTCGCTGAATATCATGAAACTGTCTAAAAATGTCTAAATTTATTAGATCTGGAATTTCTTGAAGAATTCGCTGCTTGCTAAAAGTTATCATGGAACTTCATTGATGTTTTCTAATCAACTTAGCTAACTTTTCACGTTTTTTAAAGTTCTTGAAATCCCCATGATATAACACCTTTAAAATACTCTCACGTTTTCCGGATGTTCATATAATTTTTTTCACGTTCCAGAAATTCTCTCGGAGCTTTTCCGAAGTTTCCGAAA